GAACTACCTAAACGCTAAACCCTAAACTCCAAACCCCCTAAACCCTAAACCCTAGACCCCTTGAAGGGTAGCAGACCATGGCATGCAGAAGTCTCGGGCCCAGGGTACAGTTTTTAGCGCTTTTTCATGGGGGTGTGTAGGGCCTCAGGTTAGGGTTTAGGGTTTAGGGTTTAGGGTTTGGCGAAAACAAGTTCAGGTTGAGGTTGCAGGTCGCTTGACTTAGGGCTGAAAGGGTGCAGGTAAAGGGTAAGGATTCAAGCTTGATGGGCCAGAGGATTTTGGGGGTTTGGTGTTTGATAGGGAGCCCTAGACCCTAAAGCTTGAACCCTAAACCCTAAACCCTAAACCCCAAACCCTAAACCCTAAACCCCAAACCCTATACCCTGAACCCTAAACCTTAAAAGCCCTGACCCCCCTAAACCCTACACCCAAGGTTCAAACTTCAGGATTGGGGGAGCTGATCGGATCTGGGAAGCCGGGCTCAGAACAGGTTCCTCTTTCTAGGACATTTTCAGGTGGGTAGTTACCGTTATAGGAGCCTTATAGAAGGTCTATATACCTTATAGAAGCCTTATAGAAGCCCTATATACCCTAAACTCCCCAGCTGTAGTTTCCTCTAACTCTTGTCTCTGGAAAGCCTCTGCCCACAAACCCAGGGGTGACACCGACAGCCGCGCTCCCTTGGTAGGCGTGGCCGCTTTCTGTTGGTGTCATGGGTGTCATGGGGCTTTTAAGGGCTTTGCTGGCTTGGTCTCAGGGTTTCGGATGAGGGTTTCGGGTAGACGTCTCCCCAGGCACCGGATAAACGTCTTAAGTCGTTTCATTTATTGACAATGATACTTCGGCACTGGAACTGATGGTAAAGTCTCGTAAGGCCGAGAGCCCGAATGCTCTGTAGTCAAGGAGTCGTTGAGTTATAGAGCGGTCCTTAGTATGATTCGAGGTCAACTGTTGAACTAAAGGGGTGTTGGGCTTCTTGGGCGATGGCTTTTGATGGTAACAACCTTTCTTTGTGGGCTCCAGCTTCGCTTCGAACAACTCGACATACTTCGCCATGCCCCCAAACCTTGAACCTTGAACCCTAAACCCTCGACCCCTCTCCCCTAAACACTACACCCGAGTGCCGCAGGGCTCGGGCTTTGTGTGATTCCGAGCCTTCCAGTTGTTAGGATTTTGCAGGCTTCAAGGCCAGGGGTCTTCGGTTTGTCCCAAAGAGGCAGATGGTCCAGAGCTGGGTGTATGATGGGGCTTGGAGGCTCATGATCCACTCCGAGCCCCAAACCCTGTAAGCACTGTGCCCGGCAAAGCCCAAAAATTGGGCCCCCCCCTAAACCCTAAACCCTAAACCCCCCGAAACTCGGGCGCTTTCACAGCTCAAGTTGGGCCTTTTCGGCCTTTGGCCAGGACCTGTTCGAGCTCGGCCCTCAGCCAGCGGAGACCCTTTTTTTTTGGGCTCCTGGCATTCAGGCTCTTGGAGCTTTAGTTCCATGTCTGAGGTTTTGGGTTATATTTTTTTTTCTTAGGGGTTCGGGTGCAACACAGTTTAGGGTGTAGTTTCGGGCATGGCTTGCGCTTTTCGGCTCGTTGTTCTAGCAAACTTTCTCGAAGCGCGTGAAAGCCTCACCTCAAGTGACCCTGACAGAGGTGCCAAACTCTAAACGCGCCTCGCAAACGCACAATTAAGCAATCTCTTTAGTGGCATACTTGAACGAATCGTTCGGCGGGAACCCTTCCGGAACCCGTTTCTGCACCTAAGGTCCTAAAGTTCTCGAGGCACTAGCAACCGCCTTGAGTTCTGACGGCGCCCGCTCCTCTTCTTCGGTAGTAGGATTGGGGCACTAGGGCTCAGGGTTTTTGGGGTTGAGGGCCAGATGTAGGCAATGGCCGAGTCGGTGTGAGTTCGGAGTTAGCATTGATGGGCAGACCCTAAACCCTTAACCCCTAAACCCAGACGTTCATGTTCCCATGCCCTGCGCACGAGGATGATGATATCGTGTGGGGGGCTCAGAGGGCATGGTGCTTCCAAAGAGGTTTGCCTTTGCACCCTCCATCCGTCTGCCACAGAGACCTGATTGCTTGGGTTCTTCCAAAATTTCCCCTAAACTCTGAACCCTTCAAAAAAATGCCTGAATCCAGCTCCAAGCCTCAAGCATCAAGCACTTTAGCCCAAGTTGTGAACATGAAACCCGATTCAGGCAACGAGGCTGTGAAAAAAATTGCATGTAGCCGTATAGGCTGAAGGCTTATGGTCAAATTCTCAGGCGGTTTAGGGTTTAGGGTTTAGCTTCGGCCTTGGCTTCTCCTGAACTGAAAGCTCCTGAAAGTCCCGAACGGTACACATCCCCAACCTTGCATCAGGCCTTATCAGGACCCCTTGCGATTGAGGTCTGGAGTTTAGATTCTCGGGTTTAGGGTTTAGGGCTTCGTGGATCCAAATCGAAGCCTTCAACCCTGAACCCTACTTCAAACTTCCTAAACCCTAAACCCGAAATCCTCAAACCCCATAACCCAAATCCGCCAAAATCCCAGGTACGCCTAGTTCCCTTGTTGCCCCGCCGTTCCGAAGACGAAGGCCAAACTGCTAGAATCCTCGACCCCCTGAATGCCCAAAGAGGGCTAGTATAGCTGCACTTTTGCTTCATAAGGGTTCCAGAAGGTTTGTAGCAAGAATCTATGAGTCATTGGCTGCAAACTTCGGAAACTGCCAGAAGCTTGGAGCTCTGATTTCCCGACCTCAAGCTCGGAAGCGCCCTGGAACCCGCAAGCCCCCAAAGTGTGATGGACCAAGGGTGGTGGCGGGAGCGGGACCGAGAGGTCAAGACTTGATCGTGACAGGCCCGGGGTTTCAGCGACTTTCTTGGGTTTAGGATTTGGGGTTAGGGATTAGTCAGAAGGATTTAGGGCTGAGGATTTAGGGTTTAGGGCTTTGGGGCCCAAGGTTTGCTGGCCAGAGTCTAGCCTTGATTGGGGCTTCCATCTGCTTTCCTGAGCATGGTTTCTGCTAGCCGCTGGCCCCTCACTCTGCGCTTCACGGGAACTTCCTTTCTCCGAAGTTTGTCAGAGGTTTTCTTTCTTCATGCAATCGCCGAAAAGGACCGATAGTCCTTGATGTGAAAGGCTGACTTGTTGCACCAAGCGGGAATCACTAGCTGTTGCACCCTAGCCGAAGCTTAAGACCAAAATGGCCCAAACTTCTCTCAAACACAAGCAATCGGCCGCACGTCCGCAAAACTAACCCTAAACCCTAAACCTCAACTCTTACACGACACCAACAGTAAGCCCTTCGAAGGAGGAATTTCCGCCGGAGCCTCTGGGCAAGCCTGCCGTTCGGGTAGGGTGGGGGTCATTCGCTTTGCGTTTAAGTTCGGGGGTTTCAGGTTAGGGGTTGAGGGATCTAGAGGGATCTATGGTATAGTAGGGCCATTTTAGATCCATACTAATACGCGAATTTTTGGAGCGGTTGGACTAACAGTTCCAATTTCAACATTCCGGGGAGGCCTCGTGCAAAGCTACGGTAGTGCTAGGCAGCTTCAAAAACCAACCTGCTTGTTCTCAACGCCACCACAGAAGCTCTGACCCTCGCATAGGTCACGTCACACTCCCTACGACACATGCATGGGTAGTTCTCTAAACTAGGGTCCCTTCTAGGCTCCTTTTATCAGGGTGCCGTGCTGTATTGGGGACCTGAAAAGGGAGCCTACTTTAGAGAACTACCTACATGCTTCAGGGTTCCCGCTCCCAGAAGATCTCGCAGGGCGCAGCAGGGTTCTCGAATGGTTCAGGGGTTGGACCCGCGCATTCGAGACCAAGCCTAAGCCCGAAGCCCGAAGCCTTAAACCCTTAACTCTAAACTCTAAACCCTAAACCCTAAACCTGACACTCTAGGCCCTGGCCTTCGAACCTTCCGAAGCTCGCCCTGACCGGACCGTAGACGCGCCTTAGAAGGCAGGCCCTCATCAGGCTACATAGTTTCACATCGCCGAGGAATGTATGTAGAGGCTTCCGTGCGTCGTAGCTGTACCCGAAAACCGCAGGCTAGTTGTCCCACTCATCTACAAACGCCCATGAAGGGCCGCGAAAGCAAGGCAAGCATTCCAGAGCCTTCTTCTAGCGACAGTTCGGGCCCAGTTTGGGTGTCTCGCTCTGACTAAACCCGATGGCCCTATAGAAATCCTCAAATCCATGAGCCCCAAGGCCCTAACACCTCAAAAACCCCAAACCCTAAACCCTAAATTCATCAAACCCTCAACCCGAAACCCTAAACCCCAAAGCCTAAGCCCTAAATTTCATGGTGTTCCGATGCGACCTCGGATGCCTCGGATCTGGGCCCGATGCCTCCTGCTTCCTGCTGTGGGTCTGGGGATTCGGGTGGGGTTTGAGGTTTTGAGTTTCAAGGTTTAGGGTCTAGAGTCTGTGGGGTTTCGGATTCGGAGTTTGGGGTTTGGGGTTTGGGTGTTTAGGGCGTGTAGAGAGCTTATCCTCCCGTCGCGAAGACTTGATATGAATGGCTGCACGCTAGCCCAGACATGTGTCTTTTTTTTTTTGGGGGGGGGTTCCAAATTACAGCAATGCTTCTGTGGCGCATGGCTTTTGGATCTACACTCTGCATTGCCTTTGGCGAAAGCTTTCGAACAGAGTGTGATGTCGAGGGCACCGATGGTGCAGCTGGTGCTGGTCCTCAAGAGCACATCCCCCAAATCCTGGATGCCCTCAACATGGCATACAACGAGCAGGCTCTGAATGCTTCCTGGATGTCTTTGGACAGTGTGGAGGTGGCTAGAGAACACATAAAGCATGCAAAGGGATCCAAGGAAGAGCTTGCTGAGGACACTTATCTTTATGGAGAGATCCACCCTTCCTCCACGGCCGCCCTCTTGCGATGCCTGGGCCTGAGAACTGGCGCCCGTTACTACGACCTCGGCAGCGGCACCGGCAAGACGGTGCTGGTGGCAGCGCTCCTTGGCCTGAACGCGACCGGCGTCGAGGTTGTGGAAAAGCGATCTCTGGCAGCACAGGGGGCGGCCAGGCGGATAGGAGGCCAAGGAGTTGCAAAGGACATCTGCCCCCCGAGCTTCCTTCATGGCAGCCTTCTCGACGTGGACTTCTCCGACGCGGACATCATCTTTGCGAACTCCGTGCTCTTCCCGGAGGAGTTGATGGAGGGCTTCTCTCGCAGAGCCGAAGCTTTGAGGCCAGGGTCCTGGGTGGTTTCCTACTGGAATCTCCTGGGCCCCTGCTTCCGAAGCATGGGACAGTTTCTTAGTAGCTGAATAGGTAACCTTTAACCTTTTTGGGCTTATATAGTCCTACCATAATTGAAAGGTTAGCCCTTTTTTGGGCTTCTATAGTCCGACCATACTTGAAAGGTTCACCTTTTTTTGGGCTCGGGCACTCCGCCCCTGAGGTTTTCCGGCTCAGTGACCTGGCAAGCTGAAGGCCTCTTCACATGGAAGGTCCAGCAAGCGCTCTGCGGACGGAGGGCTCTTGGAGCAGAGGAGTTGTAGGGTTTGGGGCTTAGGGCTTAGGGTTTAGGGCTTAGGGTTCAGGGCTTAGGGTTTAGGGTTTAGGGCTTAGGGTTTAGGGTTTAGGGTTTAGGGCTTGGCTTAGGGTTTAGGGCTTAGGGCTTAGGGTTCAGGGTTTAGGGCTTAGGGTAGACGAGAAATCCGTGGGTGACTCAACTTCGGCCTTCGACGACCGAAGGCCCGAAGGATTGCCTCGTTGAGGGCCCAGAAAAGGCCTGTGTACATACCATGCACTGCTGGTCTGCCTGCCTTCCTCTTGCCCGAATAAACTTTATTCTTGCATTGATGCGTACGTACAGGAGCACATAATTGCTACAATATATATATATATACATACATATATATATATACCTATTTGTTTATTTATTTATTTGTTTATTTATATATTTATTTATACATACATACATA